CTATCAAAGACAATGCAGCAGCATATATATTGGTGATCACACGTCAGAATGAAAAAAATTTCTGGCCATGGCCTAAAAATATAAATTTGACACTTGTGTTGCTTAAAAAAAGCAAAAACATTCAGATCCTTATATCATAAGGTGTTTATTATACCAGTATTAAATTTTCTCTAATTTTTTTTTCATTCAATTTAGATTATACATCTTCATGGTAGTCATAATACCTACAAATAGAGAGTAATATTCCACGATTTATGACAATATTTATTAAATACATTATTTACAGCTACAAGTATCTGATTATTTAATATTACATTATTAGTAATCTATTATTCTGTGTCAAACTAAAATTATACAGAATATTAATAAAAATTTGCTGGCATAAATTATACTAAGTGACTTAGAAATCCGAACACCCAGTTTAAATGATTTTATTTTAATAAAATTTTGTAAAGTACTAAATGAAGCATAATAAGTAAATGATTAAAATTTTAAAATGATTGCATTGCTTTAAAGCCCTTTTACCTTTAATAATGTGTGGATGCACCCCGATGTGTTACGCATTCTCCAACGCACCTAGGCATGCTTCTGATCAGGTGGTCAATGTCCTTTTGTGGTATCTCATTCCAGGCAACCACCAACTCCTCTCGAAGTGCTTGTAGAGTCTGAGGAGGACGTTGCAAATTGAGCAATCTCCTACCCATCATATCCCACACGTGCTCAATTGGGGATAAGTCGGGAGATCTTGGTGGCCATGCTAACAGTGTGACATCATTATGTTGAAAGAAGTCTATTGTGACTCTTGCAACATGTGGTCGGGCATTATCTTGTTGGAAAGTTGGATTTGCCCGGGTGTCAAGATAGGGTAAAAGGTGGGGCTCTAGAACTTCTTTGATATAACGCTGCGCGTTCATGTTAGCTCTGATGAAGATTAAAGGTGACCTGGAATCATAAGCTTTAGCACCCCAAACCATAACTCCAACAGTGTGATGAACATGTCTTTCAACAAAAAACTGTGGGTTCCTCCTTTCAGCACGTCGCCTTCTAACCCTCGCTCGACCATCGTGCATGCCTAAACAAAATCGAGACTCGTCACTAAAACAATACTCTTCCATTCCTGATTCCAGAGTGACCGTTCTCTGCACCACTGAAGGCGATTACGGCGATGTTCTGGAGTTTAAGGGAGGACCCAGTGTGGTTGGTATGAAAACAGGCCAAAACTTCTCATTCGTCGGTAAACACTTCGCATGCCAATAGGTCTTCCGTGTTCTGCAAACCATTCATTTTCGATGAAGCTGGTAGTGGAGAAACGGCCTTTCAGGGCCAATAATCTTAGGCGGCGATCTTCACGGTCTGTTGTTCTACGGCGGCGTCCAGTGCTCCTTGCTCTTTGCGTACGGCCTTCTTAAAGCCATGCCTGACAACACCTAAGCAGGGTGTCTACACTTCTTTGCACTCTAACTACAACTTACCGAAAAGAAAGTCCAGCTTCCCGAAGTCCCATTATACGGCCCCTATCAAACTCACTAAGTTGACGAAATCGTACAGGTCTCCATACTCTAGGCCTCGTAATCAATCGTAAAGAATGTCAAGAACTACAATCCGCCAAACTTGGATCTTTACTGCGGCTGAAATATTCATTTTTAGATTGTTAGTGAATTTAAAAACAAAAAGTATAAAAACCGGAATCTCCAACTGATAAGGTTAAAAACTGTATCACTTATTTTTTCAATAAAATAAATAAATTACACTAAATTTTATTGAAATAAAATCATTTAAACTGGGTGTTCGGATTTTTATGTCACTTAGTATATTTAAATAATTTAAACTGTTAATATTAAAACCTACAGTACACGTAACAAAAAGGTGTTGTTATTAGTTATTGGGACAAACAGTTGCTACACTACTTGTATTGTGCTACTTTAAAGTAACTTTTGATCACACTAGTATGTCACTCTAACATGGCAATTATGTATTTACACTATTTATCCATATACAAATAGAAAAGGTAGAAACAAATGCTTGTTCAGTTTTATTCAGTGTCTTCTTGTAAATGCTGCTATATGCAATTTAATTATTGGATTTAAGATTTAATTTTGGCTATACTTCTTATTGGGCAGTCTCCTTTCAACATCCACCTGTATATATAAATATCAAAAGCATCCATTCTTTCTTTCGTTTCAGAGTCCATTGCCTAATTTCCACAGCCATACAGCAAAACAGAGAAAACGTACCATCTAATCATTTGAATTCTGAACTCCAGACTAAAGACTAATCTTAGAAAAAATGTTATAATGTTGATGACGTTTTCCTCACTTGTTCGATTTTTGATAAGATTAATTTTTTTGGATTAGACTGTCGGTTTATATTTGCTCCCAAAGGAGATTATGATTATGGAAGTTACCTGTTCTATTATTTGTCCCTTGTCAAGTGAATATATTAATTTCATAACATCTATGCAAGCAAACACTACAAAACAAGATTCACTGAAATTGCTTGAAGTCACTTTTGACAGAAAGTTGAATTGAAAAGAACATATTATTAATCTAACTTGTAAACGTTATAAAATATTAAATTTACTAAAAGTTTTAGCAATATAGTAATATCAGGAAGCCTAGCAATCCTAGTGAAGAAAGAAATCAGACACATCCGAATTCAGACTCTACAGCTCAACAACAATTAGATGTGTTTTAGGGATGCTGTTTATTTATTTTTTGTATTTAGCGTCTGTCAATACATGGCAATATAAAATATTTTGAAAATTTTTTGTATTGTTATTTCATATGAAATATTGAAATTAAATGATCTAGAACAAACATTGTTTAATTTATCACTGGAATACGTAGTTAGAAAAATATCAGAAGGTAGTAACAGATAGCGACATACTTAATAATAAATCTGTCAAACTGGCCGCATATAAAGATGACATAAATATCATGAGCAAAACCAAATCAACAGTTCGGAATACGTATACCGAACTTAAATAACATACTAAACAAATCAATCCGTCAATAAACACAAAAAGAATTAAATCCTAGTACAGAGTCAATCGGAAAAAGCAACTCGACCCTACCTGACAGTTGACAACTTAGAAAAAGCTAGACAGATTTATCTACATAGGAGTCAACATCACAAAGGCCAATATTTACGATGCAGAGCACTCAGAGCTAAAAAAATCTATCTGAGAGTAAGTTATTAATCTGTCTCACTGTTACCACCTTATAAAGTTTATAAAGAAAACCTTGATCTGTTGCTGCATGCTGTTGATATGATTAAGCTTTATAAAAAATTATTATGCAGGCATTATTAATTTGGGTTTTGTGTCATAATTTTCATTTTAAGCGCTTCCTAGTTATTCGGTTCTTCTTTCCTAGTTTTGATTTAATTTATTTTACTCCATATCGTCTTATTGATGATACCTTTTAATGACTTCTTTTTAATATGCTTATTTATCAATTGATTAAGTTGTTTGAACTCTCTGATATTTCCTTTTTAAGTAAGATAATATCTTAAGCAATCTTAGATGCATGGTTTATTTTCTCATTATTTAGTAACGAGCATTGTATTACTTTAAAAAAAATTATTATTTATCATCATATTGTACAGGGAAGTGTTAAAAAACTATGTGTATTGAAAAGTACTTACCACTCATCTCAAAACCGCTACCACTAAAATATCTGGAAATAATAATAAAATAAAAATTAGTATCAAATAAAATCATACAGTCTTTAAAAAAAAACAAGAATTAAGAGCAATTTATAATAAAGAATAAAACATCGATTGGTATAATCATATTTGAAGTCCTCTGTGAGATTGATAATGTGTCATTGATAATTTGAAATATCCATTCACCCCTGTCTCTCTTTCTGTCTTTTTGTATTTTGTTGTAATTAGAAGTTTTAGTAAAATTCAGAACAATCACTTTAGAGGAAAAAACCTTGAACAAAAATCACTCTCTCGTTCTGAAACGGGAGTACCTCCTCCCTCTTAGTGATCAGTGTAGTAGTGTCTGGGGTCTTAGGAGACTGAGACCCCAGAAGTTCTGAAGAAGACGTCAGAGAGGATGTCAAAGGAGGATGAATTGATGAACAGAGTACACTTTGCTTTCAATCAGCTGTATACTCAAGTACAGATTACAAGTACAGCATTAATCTTAGCTTTAGATGTTTAGTTGTACTAACCGCGGAAATATCATGGTAGATGGATTGGACGACGAGGTTTTAATATAGTGGTCAGCTTAGTCACTGTACTTCAGACCATTAATTTTTTTTTTGTGGGCTACTTGAAATATAAGATTTACGCTATAGAGGTAGGACAATGTTGACGTTTTGGAATGACGAGTTGTTGAAAAATTAGGGCAATTTACCTCAACACATTTCAACGAGTACAAGAATTCAGCAATAGGATGAATTACCGCCAGGAAGTAGATGAAACATATTTTGAACGGTTAATATAAAAACTTTTTAAATCTTTTTTTATTAGATGCAAAATCACAATTTCAGCATTTTTTTAATTAATTTATCAAAATCAGCTAAAACCCAAACAAAATTAGTGTGATTAAATAGGTATTTTCAATACCTTTTAAACGAGATGTCACTTGTCATAAGGTCCCATTTAAAATAATCGGTCACAGTGACTCTGTAACGTCATCTATGCCTATTACGTTACGTGGTGTGACTAGTTGATAAGCTCCATTTATTTTCTCAATCCAAATTTCACTATTATATCGACTGATCCAACGAAGACTGTAGTAACTCAAATTTTCCACTTTTGGCCAATGAGGATCCTGGTGACCACGAGACTGATATTAATCCTGAATGTTCTACAGGTTGGTTTAAATTCCGCATGAAAAATATTACGTAGGCATTTACCTCATTTTTGTTTAATTTTAGTAAGCTTAGAAGAGAATGAAGCCAATAGGAATGAAAATGAAATAATTGAGAAGGAAAGCGATGAGGAACCATTTCATGCAGACTCTGATACTGACCCAGATTACATTCCGACAGAAGACAAAAACATCCCTGAAGTAATAATTGAACCTAATAAGAATATAACTGAAGCAACCACAAATAGAAAGAGAAGAAGCAGAGGCAATATAGAGAGAGTAAGTAGGAAAAGAATTAGAGACGTTAGTAAGTGGGCGGATGAAAAATCTAAAACAAGTCTAAACCTGGGACTTGAACATGAAAATCGAAAAGGTATTCAAATTAAAGGAAGACAGATGGGTGCACCATGCGCAAACACATGTAGCCTAAAATGTGCTACCAAAATAGCTAAAGAAGATAGAGACCTTTTTTTGAATGAATTTTGGAAGTTAAAAGATCATACGAGAAAGTGGGATTTTATTGCTCGTCATGTGAGACAGGTTGCCAAAAAACAAGTAACTATTACTGCAGAACAACGGTCTCGAAGAAATTACTTCTACAGTCGCAATGAAAAAGAACGTGTTTGCAAAACTATGTTTTTGGAAACCCTTAACGTTTCAGAAACTTGGATCACTACAGCATTAAGAAAACTGAAAGATGGTGGATCATTAGAGGAAGATAAACGTGGAAAGCATACTAACAGACCACATAAACTATCACCAGAACTTATAGACAATGTAAAAAATCACATAAATCAGTTTCCCGTAGTACCTTCCCAATATACCCGTAAGAATACGATGAAGATGTACCCTGAAGAAGGGCTAACTATCCAGAAAATGTACCCCGATTGTACAACGAGCATTGCGAAAAAAATAAGATTACTATAGCTGCCACGTCACGCCAGTATAGAGATATTTTCAATGAACAGTTCAATATTGGGTTCTTTAAACCAAAAAAGGACCAGTGTACTGTTTGTTCTGTTTTTAATATGGCTAGTGATGCTGAAAAAGGAAAATTGCTCGAACAATATGAGTCCCATATGAAAAACAAAGAAGTTATCAGAAACTTAAAAGACATAGACAAACAGCTTGCACTAGATGATAAGAGCTTGTGTGTGGCTTGCTTTGACCTTCAAAAGGTTTTAGCTACCCCTTTGTCTAACGTAAGTGATTTTTACTACAAAAGCAAATACTCTACATATATACAGTTTATGATGTTGGAAATAATCAGGGTTACTGCTATGTTTGGCACGAGCAGGTGGCTAAAAGAGGTCCTAATGAAATTGCCAGTTGCCTCTGGAAATTTTTAGATCTCAAGGCACAACAAAGTGTTAAAACGATAATATTCTACTCAGAAAACTGTGGGGGACAAAATAGGAATCGTTTTGTGTTTTCGATGTTTGCTTTTGCTGCTGCTCATTTTCATATTGATATTGTTCACAGATTTCTGGAAAAAGGCCACACTCAGAACGAGGGTGACAGTATGCATGCTTTTATCGAAAATGCAAAGAAAAGGCAATCGGTTGTATATGTGCCAGAACAGTGGGTTACATTAATTAGAATGACTAAAACTACAGGAAGAGTTTATGATGTTACGGAAATGTCCCAAGATAATTTTTTTAATTTTAAAAAACTGACTGATACCGAGAATTGGAAACTTGACAACGAAAAGAAATCAATAAAAGTTAGCAAAATACGAGAAATAAAATTTTCGCATGAATACCAAAATTCTATAATGTTTAAATACGAATTCGATGATGGTTTTCGAGGTTGTGACATAAAATTAAATCGAAAATGCAGAGCACGGCCTTCCACTACTATCAAATTTCCACCGAAACTGTACGATGCACCATTACCAATTGAAGAAAAAAAGCTAAAATGATTACTGTGTCTGTGTAATACCGGCAAAATACCCACAATGTACCATGGATTTTATAAAAATCTTAATTCAAAGAGTTATGTACCTCCTAAAGTCGAGCTCGAAGTTGATTCAGTTGAGAGCGAAGAAGAGTCGGATGAGGAAAATTGAATTAAAATATAAAACTGCAAATTATATCAGTAGCTTCTTCAAAATGTAGCATTTTATATAAATAAAGTTAAGAAACAAATAATTCTGGTATTAACTCTGTTTTACCCTTGTAAGATCATTATTAAAAGTATCACTTAATGCTATAAAAACATCCATTTAATAGATTAATGAATTTTGGTAACAGTGTAAATACATTTTTATAATTATCTCAATTACATAAAAAATGAGTTACTACAGTCTTCGTTGGACCAGTCGATATGTAAAACTGAAAGATTCGAGAGGGAGGAAACTTTTGCCGAGCACTATATATATTATATAGTTTAATATACGGTTTTATCGACCTTTTTTAAGTTTCCTTTATATTAAAGGAACCTACATGTAGTACAATATTCAAAAATAACAGGGAATGCAAGGGAGCGTCAATGCTCATACATTAAAATGTCAAATAGAACTTAATACTTGAGATGTCATCACCGAAAAGCTAATGACAGTCGATGTTATCATTAAATAACACAGAATAACTGTGGTAGGAGCATATAGAGTCAATGATGATTGCTATATAGGCTAATACCAATAAGCTTACAATCACATCATAGTGCCTCTACTCCAAAATCCAAGGAGCTATCGGTAATATAACTTCAAGGAATGCAGTAGGATCAGATAATTTGACTGGTATTTCGAAAAATTATGGACAATAATTCTTAAAAATTATTGCATAAAAAATAATCAAAAAGTAATTTAATAATGAACATTAAATATGATATTAAATGATGTCGCCCTTCTATATATTTAGTTCTTAATTCATATGGTATTCGATAATATAAATATGTCAAATAGTCAATTATTTTCTTATGCACATTATTGTTTGCCGTTATTTTTTAATCTCAAAATCACACATTTTGTCAGCATTCGCATGTTTTTTTTGTCCCATTTCAACTTGGGCGTTTGCGATAGAGCCGTTTTACTTTTATAGCGTTCAACGTGAGAATAAAATATTTTTCCCAAGCTCCGAACGAAACAGACTAACCAAGAATTATTAATGATTCCCAAATGCAATATGGCAAGTTTTATATGCTACACCGCACAGTACGTTTTAGGCTGCTTATTGGTCTGTATTGTTTTTCATTTGGTCTATATACGTAGCACTTTCAGTTTTTAATAACAATGTGGGAAAAAAGTCAAAATCTTTAGAAAGAAAAAAATTATTTAAAAAATATAACACTCTTATGTTTGTAAACTTTATTATTAAATATACCTGACCTTTTATTTACCACTGAATGAAAATGAAATCACTACAGATGGGAAAGTAGTAGGACTAGATCAGTTTCACTTGGAATTCCTAAAAGTGTAGCAATAGTCAACATTTTCCTTCTAAAGAAGAAACCTTATACATAAAGTCTGTAGAATAAGCAATCATTATTTTAGTTTGTCATTTAGTTAAAACCATTTTAAAAATAAGTAAAAAAAATCTATAGAAAATGAGAAAAATAACTGACACATATAAAGATGTGTTTTAGGGATGCTGTTTATTTATTTTTTGTATTTAGCATCTGTCAATACATGGCAATATAAAACATTTTGAAAATTTTTTGTATTGTTATTTCATATGAAGAATTGAAATTAAATGATCTAGAACGAACATTGTTTAATTTATCACTGGAATACATAGTTAGAAAAATATCAGAAGGTAGTAACACATAGCAACATACTTAATAATAAATCAGTCAAACTGGCCGCATATAAAGATGACATAAATATCATGAGCAAAACCAAATCAACAGCTGGGAATACGTATATCGAACTTAAATACCATACTAAACAAATCAGTCCGTAAATAAACACAAAAAGAATTAAATTCTAGTACAGAGTCAATCGGAAAAAGCAATTCGACCCTATCTGACAGTTGACAACTTAGAAAAAGTAGACAGCTTTATCTACATAGGAGTCAACATCACAAAGGCCAATATTTACGATGCAGAGCACTCAGAGCTAAAAAAATCTATCTGAGAGTAAGTTGTTAATCTGTCCCACTATTACCACCTTATAAGGTTTATAAAGAAAACCTTGATCTATTGCTGCATGCTGTTGATTTGATGGAGCTTTATAAAAAATTATTATACAGGCATTATTATCTGGTCTACCATGGTAAAAAGGTGAATTGTTTTGCTAAGATTTTTTTATAGACTCTGACGTACTTCTCTGCAAAAATTTAGATTCGCCGTTGTTCCTATTAATTTTTTTCTACGTGTATAGATTTTCCAGATGCTCCTCATCGATATCAGCATTACTATTCTCTTTCTTTTATTAGACTTTTTATAGTTCGTTATATTCATTAATTCATCCTGGTATGCTTTGCTTTTGCACTTCTCATGTGATTCACTGTTTAGCTATAAAAATGATAGCACAAGCTCATCTATCATAGTTATCTACTGTAGGTTTTATCCACTTTATAACCATGTAAAAGTCATACGAAATACAGGTTTTTTTTTCAAAAATTAAGTCTTGGTCTGAGAAAGGATCTAATTATGGGTACCTACTTGTATTCCTATTTCATTCATATAAAACAAAACTTTACTAGGTGGATAGTCTCCAAGTACTTTTCTGCTCAAACTGGGTGGTTGATTTAGAGTTCTTGTATTACAAAACAGAGATTTGAGTTCCACTCGTTATTTCACGCTGTCAATCTCAATGTTCCTCGCCTTTGACATCAAATGCAAGGTTTATTGATCTTTTGATAACATTATACAAGTATATCTCCATTTTGGTAGTAGGGTTTTAAACACATTTGTTGTTGACAGCTCTTCAACTTTTATGGTTATGCTATTTATATTGTTTACAGAGTTGTTATTTAATAATTACTAAGGCTATTGAAAAAGCAAACCGACCATAAATAAATTACTTTGGCAACATAGACAAATGAACGGGGACTATGTAACTATTGGTAGTAGAAGGAAAGGTAAAAGATCTAAGATAAATAAGGCAGAAGAGGAGTATCTTCAACATGAAGTCGTCCATCTGGTATTGGATTGCAGCTAATAATATTTGTGGAAGTGTCACCACTTCCTGACAAGGTCTTAAAAAATTAGATGAGTTTTGCTAAGTGGGAAAACGACCCGAAAAGCTATTTAGAGAGTGGCTGAGCTGGAAAGGATAATGTCCAATATCGATGGACTCAAATCCGAGAGCAATTCACGGTGTTGTGCAGTCTGTCGTCCTCCACGCGGCCCCAGTCTGGAGTGAGGCGGTAGGAATACCAACTTACAAGAGGTTCATCGTATGCGTCGACGGAAATAGTCTGCCACGGGTAGCATGTGCTTACAGGACTATGTCAGCTGTCGATCTGTGGGGTCTTTTGGATACTGTAACATACAGAATTTTTGATTCCGCTAAAGAAATGGTGGTTAACACGGATGAGAAAATTTGACAGAAAGCTATCATTTTCAAAAGAATGGGAGGAGAGGAAGCTTGCAATCCAATTCTAAATCGAGCGAGTAGTGACGGGACGAAGTGTCAAAAATCTAACCTCCTTGGGCACATTGTCCTGGCACAATTTCGTTAGGGTATTAGAGCAACCCTACCTAGGTGAGTCACAGGTATCTCTATGCAGATTTTTCTTCTTAGTCTGATTGCCATCAATCGCTAGACTATTATTTATGATGCACTACTATACTTTATACCTCTTGAAATGATTCTACAGACATTTTTTCTTTAGAAAATGAAGTCACTTTTGAACTTTTTTGTTTTGGCAATAAAATATCTTCATTAAAAAACCAAGTTACTTCCGATATTTCGTATTTTTATAAAAAGATAAAAATTGAAAAGATTTTCTCTTTTAAAAAGAAACTGAAAAACTTTGAAA